CTGAGCCAGCCCGAGTGGCACGGGATGCACTGGAGCATCCCTGTGCAAATCCTGCACTGGAGCATCCCTGTGCAAATCCTGCACTGGAGCATCCCTGTGTCAATTCCTGCCCCAGAACATCCCAGTGCCAATTCCTGCACTGCAGCATCCCTGTGCAAATCCTGCACTGCAGCATCCCTGTGCCAATTCCTGCACTGGAGCATCCCTGTGCCAATTCCTGCACTGGAGCATCCCTGTGCAAATCCTGCACTGGAGCATCCCTGTGCCAGTTCCTGCACTGGAACATTCCTGTGCTGAACATCCCTGTGTCAATTCCTGCACTGGAGCATCCCTGTGCCAGTTCCTGCACTGGAGCATCCCTGTGCTGAACATCCCTGTGCCAGTTCCTGCACTGGAACATTCCTGTGCTGAACATCCCTGTGCCAATTCCTGCACTGGAGCATCCCTGTGCTGAGCTTCCCTGTGCCAATTCCTGCACTGGAGCATCCTTGTGCAAATCCTGCACTGGAACATCCCTGTGCCAATTCCTGCCCCAGAACATCCCGTGCCAGCTCCTGCCCCAGAACATCCCGTGCCAGCTCCTGCCCCAGAACATCCCGTGCCAGCTCCTGCCCCAGAACATCCCATGCCAGGTCCTGCTGTGCTCCTTCCGTGTGTGCCCTGGCTGGGACCCTCTGCTCAGCCCCGTGAGCTCGGTGTCCCCGCAGTGCCATCTGCTCCAGAGGCCAGGAGCAGGGAGAAACGGCCCGGGAGAGGGAGCACGAGGGGGAGGAAGCTGTCCGGAGCACAAGGAGCAGGAGGAGAGGACACTGTCCGGAGCACAGGGAGCAGGAGGAGAGGATGCTGTCCGGAGCACAGGGAGCAGGAGGAGAGGACACTGTCCGGAGCACAGGGAGCAGGAGGAGAGGACACTGTCCGGAGCAGAGGGAGCAGGAGGGGAGGATGCTGTCCGGAGCACAGGGAGCAGGAGGAGAGGACACTGTCCGGAGCAGAAGGAGCACGGGGAGAGGACACTGTCCGGAGCAGCCGGGGCTCCTGTCAGGCTGCAGCCGGGGATGGAAGGCCACGCTCGGGGAGGTTTGTTCCCGAGCAGGGTCAGTGCCCGGCTCAGCGGTGCCGACAGGGCTAATTGATGAGGAATTGCCAGCGGAGCGCTGTGTCATCCCGGGCAGCTGAAGTCGGGGCTGGGCCAAGCAGGGCTGTTAAACAGCCTGTGGCGGCACTTTGGGCTGCCAGGATTTATGCTCCGCGGGAGCAGCTCTATCTGTCATCTGTGAAAAGCCTCATTTCCAGAGAGGCTCCGTCAGGAAAGGCAATCAGCCTGGAAGCGGCTATGCTGGGAATTGATAACTGCTCTGCCAGGGACAGCTCATCCCTCCCTCCCTCCTGCAGGGGCTGACAGGGACCTGGGATGGGGGTTTGCTCCCCCAGGGAATCCCCCGGAGCCTGCAGCCCCTCGGGGAGCTCCGAGGCTGCAGAGTGAGCACTGGGATGCCTGTGGCACGGCTGGGAGCACTTCTGACAGGAACGCCCTGTCTCCAGAGGGCAAAAGGGAATGCTCATGGAAAAAAGCCCCATGGAAAGGGAGGCAGGTTCTGCCTCACCTCTGGGCCTGCTGGTGCCACTGGGGCTTTGCCTGTGGTGTGAAGGAGGGTTTCCAAGCACGGGAAACCGCAGAACCCCAGAAAGGAAAATCTGGAAGGGTTTTCAAGCCCATCTTGCCCCAGCCCAGCTGCTCCAAGGCTCTCAGCACAGCGTGGATGTCTCCTCCTCGCCGGGCCCCCCAGCACCGTGCTGCTGGGAGCACCTGCGCTCCGGTGTTTCCATGAGAGACCCCCGAATAAAGCCCCTGACGGACGGACAGATCGCCAGCATCGTCATCTGCGCTGCGCTTTCCTCTCCCCGCACCACGAGCTCCAGTTCCTCCCATCCATCTCATTCTTTCAAGCCATCTTCCTCCTGCAATTTCCCCTCACCCCGAAAAGAGTCAGGGATCGATCGTTTCTTTCCAATTTCAGCCGGGGCGAGGCAGAGGATGCTTTTGCCTCCCCCAGCACGTGCTGAGAGCGCTGCCTGCCTATTGATCCCTGCCTGGGAAGCGCTGCAGCCGTGCCCTGACCTCCTGCCACAGCCACAGCCGAAAGCCGCCGGCCCCAGGCTCTGCCAGGCACAAAACGAGTGTCTCCCCTCAAAAAAGGACAGCAGCATCGCCCAGGAAGGAGCTGGGGAGAAATCCCGACAGGAGGAGATGTAAGAATCCAGAAATGGAGAAACATTTCTCCCTTTATCCTGTTCTCCAAAAAGCTATTAATCCTATTTGTCACTGACAGAAAGGCTTCCAAATATCCCTGGGTAAACCAGGATTTAGAAAAAAATTAAGTACAAAGTAGTAGAATGTTTAGTATGTCACCAAAGTAAAAAATAGAGATTTCAGATTGTTTAATACATGGAGTAAAGACAGAGGGAAAAAAGTGTGTTTTTTAGCCCTCCTTCTTCCTTCTTCTCCATGATTCTGCAGTTTTTAGGAGCACAAAGAGTGATTGGTTGAAAGTTGGTCACAGTTTTAACTATGTAAGTAGATAGAAAAAACAAATTTGTTAATATATAAAAACAATCCACGTGTCTATAGTTAATTGGATAAATTGAATATAAAGATGAAACAGCCATTTTGTGCCTTCAGAACCAAAGGGAGCCCAGTTATGGTGAATTGAAGTTGTGCAGGAAGTCTGGAGAGACCTGCCAGCTTTTGTGATGACATCCTAATTAACACGAGAAGCAAGATCCTAACGAGCTTTGGACCCTGAGAACTGAGATAAACATGTGAGGGAATATTCCAAAGGAGCTGAGCTCAGAAGAGACAGAAATGCAGGAGTGAGAAGCGCAGAAGAATCAAAAAGAGCAGAAGTTTTGTGTTTGGTCTCAGTGCTCTGGTCACAGCCAGCTGGGGGATGTGAGACTCAGATTAAACATGGAATTTGGACACCCAGCACCAGCCGTGTCCGTCCCGCCAGATCCGCACTCCAACACGTCCCTGCTGCGCCCCAGTAACAAATCTGACTCTAGGTGAGGTGCAGCAGCTGTTTAATTACCAGAGACACGGCTTAATGACGTCTGTGTCCCAGCAGGGAGCAGTTGGGATGCTCCATTTGGCTGGTTTTGGCTCCAGGAGCAGCCAGTGCTGCTGCCCAAACTCCCTCTCTGATAACAGGTGCTTTTCCAAATGCTGTTAAATGAGAAGGGCTCACAACAGACCTGCTTCTCCCAGCTGATGGATGGATCTGAAAGGAACAACGCCAAATATCTGAGTTATTGTGCAGAGCTGATGGCTGTCGGGACGGCACAGCAAAGACAAATACACACCTTTGCCCGGGTTATTACTTTAAGCTCGTTATTATCATTATTATGGGTGATTAAAAACCCCATTAATCAGATGCTAAACAGATTAAGCCCTATGAATTAATTTTCTGGAAATAACTAAGACAAACATTCTGTGCAGAGCTCATTTAATGAAATAGAAGCTGTTTATCTGCAAAATTAGGGCTTGAGAGTAGCTGAGCTCGGGCTGGAAAAATCCAGTACGGTGTGGGCACGGCGGGAGCGGGCTGGAGCCAAGGCCGATTTTTTACCCATTCTAAGTAAAAGAAAAATCTTGCTGTAAGTAATTTATGATACATTACACAAAGAGCTCATTAGCGAGAGCTACAAAATCAAATTACAGCCAGTCAGGAAATAATTCCCTGATTGAGTGTGTAAGGAAGGGAGGCTGGAGGACAGAGGCTGCCGAGGGAGCGCTGGGCTGCGCGGGGACACCGGGTGTTCCTCTGGCCAGGTGTGCACACCTGGGGGAGCCTCACACAGCTGGCACAGCGAGCAGCAGCGCTCCCAAAACGACGGCTCGGAGTTGTTCTCTTGGAAGCAATTTCCCGGCCGTGTTAGTTCATTATCATGACTAATTGCTGACACTTATTTAATGACTGTATCACACACTTCCACCTGCTGCTGGGTGCTGACAACTTCAGGCCTGTTCTGCAGTAGGGACCAAGAAGGATGAGCTGGAAGGAGAACCCTGAGGTTGAATTAAGAAGGTAAGATATCGAAATCCAAGAGATAAATAAAGATAAGATGTCTCTGGTGTGTTAGCAAAACAGGGGAGAGCTCTGGAGCCAAGCAGAGGGTTTTATGTGCTTTATGTGCACAACCTCCACCATTTCCCTGGCAAACCACTTTCTCCTACTAACACTTAAACAAGATGCTTCTTATCAGCTTTGCCACTAATGACAGCGATATAGGAAATGAAAATTAATTGATTTTTCACCACCATCTTTCCCTGCCACCCTTACGGAGTTGCCTCTCAGAGAAAACTATTGGAAGCAACGGGGTAAAGAAGTTTCCCTGTGGTGAAATAAATATGAGAGCCACGGAGCTGTGGCAATGTCCTCATCCTGAAATGACCCAGCTGTTCCTGCTGCTGTCCCAGCCCCGGGGTGAGCGACATCCCGATCTCCAGGGCACTCCTCTGGCTCCTCTTCTGTTCCAAGGAGCTTCACAGCCCGGTATCCAGCCCCTAAAGCATCTCCAGGGACAAGGGGAGCTTCCCTTTGCACCCATTTATAGCCTTCCCCAGAAACTGCCTGTGCCATTGCTGTTTCTTGTGTCCCTTTTAATAAATGGGTGTGTTTGGTATTGCTGCTGAAAGTTCCGTCTTTGGCCTTTTGAAGTCATTCGATTAGGAAGTAGAGAGAATATTTTAGCTGCACAGAGGGCTATCACAATCAGCACTAGGAGGAGTAATCCAATTTTCTCACCAAAGAAGGGCAAGGGTCCTCCTAGGAGGTCAAAGCTCCCTTAGCACAATTAGAACTTTAATTAATGAAATTGGTTGAGCCTCCAGCAGCAGAAGCAGCGTATTTGTGGAGCTCTGGGAGCTCAGCAGCTCCCTGCTGGCTCTCCTGAGCACAGCCAGGCCCCGCTGTGGAGGACGTTTATTGCAGAGATGTAACTTTGGGGCTCCTGGCTGAACGTGGAGAGCCGGCTCGGCCTCCCCAGCAGCTCTGCGAGGAGCGGCACGACTCGCGGCGTGTCGTGCTGTTCAGACATGCTGGCTGCAATTAATATTGCATAATGGCCTCCTGATTCCTAAATTATGTATTTCTCCTTCTCAGCATCGTGTGGTTTGTTGTTTTTTTTTTTACAGGGTTAATTATTTTCCATCATTCCGCCTTTAGCAACAGTCGTCTTAATTAAGGGGGCCGAGTTCCGCTCTCATTCCTGCCTGGCAGATCCTAATGAAATCAATGGAGCCGTGCGGTGTAAATGGGAGCGACGCCGGCCATCCAGTAAAAATGAAATGTTCCCTCTCTTGTTGATTAATGCATAAAATTAACCCGAGTGTAATCTGCAGCTCCTGACTGAGTGAATCCCTGCAGAGCCCCCTCTGGGGTGGTGTTCCCTGAGCAGTTCTCGCTCGTCCCGGGAGCCCCGGCCGCGCTTTCGGCTCTGAGAAACGCGGCACGAGTGTGCAGCAGGGCTCCAAGTGACTGTCACCTCTCCTTCCAGTGGCTGCTCCCTGTCCCTGTGCCCCTGGCCAGGGCTGGGCCAGCAGGCAGCTCCCCCAAAGCCGTGTGCTGTTGGCTTCCAGGGATCAAACAGCTGAGGGAGGGATTGAAATCAGCCCAGAGCCCCATCCCTGGGACTGTCCCCCCACACCCTCCCTCCCCTGCTGGCACCAAAAGGGCTGATCCCAGTTATTCCTCCCTGCCTTGCATTTCCTGACAGCCCAACATTAAAGCAGGCCCAGGCAGCCATGCAGGGGAGGCTCCAATAAGTGCATCCACATGCAATATTCATGGATGGCTTCAGAATAGTTACAGATCCATCACACTTGGCAGCGGGATGGGGCTGGCGTGCGCTCCTAATGCTGGGCTTAAGCACCTTCTTGAACCCGAGCCCTGAGCCGGGGCTGCCGGCACGGTCCTGCCGCTGGCTGTCCCCATCTGTCCTGCCAAAGCCCCCTGCCCTCTCCACGCTCCCCCTCCCACCTTGGAAAGCCTTTTGGGAGCTGGGCCTGTGGGTGTCCCTGATCCGCTGCTCCTGGATAAAGCAGGGGAAACAAGGGAGCCACTGGAGCTTAATTCCCTCACTCCGGGAAAGGTTTGTTTACCAGCCTCTGGCCAGCTCCAAACCTGATCTCATCCCCCAGGATTAATTTTTACACAATCATTCCGCAGTCTGTGATAATCACTCCATAAAAAAATGAAGAGATTTGGGATTTTTTCCAGGGCGGAGGATTAGGTCTAAAGACAAGCAATCTGCAGGAAGCTCAGCTGCGTGCACAGCACTAATCGCTCTACACTCTTCCCAGCTCTGGGGAGCCGTTCATTGGGATTTCCCACAGTGGGGCTGGCTGTCCTTGCCCAGGGTGGCTGACACAGACACGTCCCGAGGGTCCCTGGGTGCTGCCACACATCCCTGCGGGGCTGGGGACACTCCTGGCCTCATCACCTCCTTCTCCACTACAGAGGAGCCTCTGGAACAGCCTCCCCACCCTGGGGTCTCTCCGCTTTCCTTGGGAAGGAGGTGAAGCACGGGAGACCTGAATGCAGTGCAAAAACCCAGGTGGTGGCATGGTTTTAAAATGTAATAAACTATTAAAAAAAATGATGAGCTTAAATCCTGAAGCCTTTAGTAAATTCCTGGTGGTTTAACTAGGTGAAATGTGAATAATAACCTGGGAATTGGCAGTTTCCCTGTTCCAGGGGCAGCTGTCTCTGGGTTCTCCTGAGTCCCCAGGAACCTCCTTCAGCTGCCAGCCTTGCCAAGCCTGGCTTAACTAACCCTGGTCCTGCAACACACACCCAGTGCCTCCTCATGGGCACACCAGGGTTGTTCCTGAGGCTTGGGGCTGAATTCCCAAAGATTCCTGATGGGATGTGACCCCATGCCAGGGGCACTGCCAGAAGGGTGAGAGCTCACAGGTTTCAGAGTCAGGAGGAGTTGTGCCCAGCAAGCGTTTTTCCAAATAGAATTAAAATAAGTACATCTCTGGGACGGCTCTGACCACAGGGATAAGGATGCAATGCCAGGTTTTTTAAAACAAAATAACATAAGCACTTAGAAAAGGACTCGAGCAGACTTTGGGTACTTATGTTGAAAATAATTGTCCCAGGAAACCCGATTCAGCAGCCACCCAGGCTGAAAGCACTTAGGCACACTCGGGCAGGCGTTCAACAAAGCATTTAGTGACCCCGGCGCTGCATCAGCAGGAACGCGGGGCTCCGGGCACCGAGTGACTCAGGGAAACCGCGGGGCTCAGGAGCACCAGGTCCCGCCGGGGGACGGCTGGGGGCCCGCTGGGTCCCTTTAGGGTGCCTTTAGGGTCCCTCTGGGGTCCCTCTGGGGTCCCTCTAGGGTCCCTCTAGGGTCCCTTTAGGGTCCCTCTGGGATCCCTCTAGGGTCCCTCTAGGGTCCCTCTGGGATCCCTCTAGGGTCCATTTAGGGCCTCTAGGGTCCCTCTAGGGTCCCTCTGGGGTCCCTCTAGGGTCCCTTTAGGGCCTCTAGGGTCCCTCTAGGGTCCCTCTGGGGTCCCTCTAGGGTCCTTTAGGGTCCCTCTGGGGTCCCTCTAGGGTCCCTCTAGGGTCCCTCTGGGGTCCCTCTAGGGTCCCTTTAGGGTCCCTCTGGGATCACTCTGAGATCCCTCTGGGATCCCTCTAGGGTCCCTTTAGGGTCCCACTAGGGTCATACTGCACAGCTCCCATTGGGATCCCAGCTGCTGCCCTCGCTGCTCCTGCTGGGGCCAGCCCCAGGCAGCCAGGGCAGTGTCCCCGCTGTGTCCCCCTTGCCTGGCTCCTGCCCCAGGCAGCCAGGGCAGTGTCCCCACTGTGTCCCCCTGCCTTGCTCCTGCCCCAGGCAGCCAGGGCAGTGTCCCCACTGTGTCCCCTTGCCTGGCTCCTGCCCCAGGCAGCCAGAGCAGTGTCCCCACTGTGTCCCCTTGCCTGGCTCCTGCCCCAAGGCTGCTCCCGCTGGGGCCAGCCCCAGGCAGCCAGGGCAGTGTCCCCGCTGTGTCCCCTTGCCTGGCTCCTGCCCCAGGCAGCCAGGGCAGTGTCCCCACTGTGTCCCCTTGCCTGGCTCCAGCCCCAGGCAGCCAGAGCAGTGTCCCCGCTGTGTCCCCTTGCCTGGCTCCTGCCCCAAGGCTGTTCCAGCTGCCTCAGGAGTCGCCACGGGAGGGTTCCTTAGCCCAGCAGGCTGGCCCAGGGGCCGCAGGAGCTCGGCTCTCTCACCCTTCCCCAGAGAACACCTTTGCGGAGCTGCTGGAAGCCGGCAGCCTCGGAGGCAGAATGACCGTGGTAATAAATTCATGGATCTTCACACCCCAGCAGGCTGACAAGCGCCTGGCTCTAAAGAGACTTTAGAACCACTGTGAGACCCCCTTATGCTTGGAGACCCCAAACACCAGCTTCAAAGGAGGGAGGGAAATTGCAAAGATAGCCTGGAAAAAGTGGATTTCAGTGGGGGCAAATCTTCAAACACAACTTTCCAGTACCGTTATAAAGACCGTGTACCTTTTGCATGAATAAATCCAGAAGAGGGAACCTTCCCTCAGAGCTGACCTGGTTCCTGCTCTGGGCTGGAAAGTGGACGGATGCTCCTGGTTCCTTTCACGTGCTGTGGCCGTGTCTCCTCCTCCATGGGACCCATCCCTTGTGCTCTGCCCCAGGACAGGGCGCCCGTGGCTGCCCACTGCCCAGCTGAGGGGTTCCACACAGAAGGCACATTGCTCCTTGCACAGCCTCACATCTCAGCTAACCAGATTTTGGATTTTCCTGACTTTAGGGCCGGTGTTTCTCACCAGCTGAGGGCTCCCTGCACCTTGGGCTATCCCAGGGCCGGTGGGAAGCTGCTGGCAGCCTGGGACACGTCCTTCCAAGCTGCCCCTTGTCCTCGTGGCAGCTTTCAGGGCAGCCTGTGGCCAGTGAAAACACGGGCTCCCAGCCCAGCGGCTCCTCTGGAGCTGCCCACAGCCCTGAGCTGCCTAATTGAGGCAGGAGCGGTACCTGGGCCTCCCCGCTCCTGCTGCAGCCTCCGGCGAGCCCAGCTCTGTGTCAATTACAGGAAAATCAATGAAGATACTGTTCAGGACTCCTTTTCACCATTCAGCACGGATGATATCCTTCACTTTCTAGCACTGATTCATTTACTTTCGGCCTCTCCAGGGGCTCCTGACATATTGCTATCTCTGAAGAATCTGAAGCGAGAACTGCCTTTGTTTCCACTGCAACTTGTTGGTGGGGCTGGGGCTCACTGAGGGTCAGGGGAGAGGCTGCAGAGTCTAAACATTCCTTACCAAAACGCCTTCCCAAGGTCCTCCCAGATCTCTTTTGCACGGGCAGAATCAGGGGGAAAATGAGTCCAGACAAGGGAGCAGTGCCATCGATGTCCCTGCTCCAGCTGAGCTGTCCCCAAAAGCGGTGACACCGCAGTAGTGCTGCTCCTCTTGCTGTCCGTGTTGGATGGAGCTTGGAACAACCTGGCCCAAGGAAGGTGTCCATGGCAGGGGCTTGGAACTGAACGACCTTTCCCAGTTCTCCAGCAGCTGCAAACTCTCCTGCAAGAGAAAAGATGGGAGAGTGGTCAGGACTGTGAGACTGGGGCTGCACAGTCTCACTCTGGGGTTTATTCCCACCCCCAGGACTCAAGGTCAGAGACTACAGGAGACAATATTAAATGTAATAGAACAGATTTCTAAAATATTTAAAGCAAAAGTCTGCAGCTGGTTTATCCTGGGAAGCCTAGGATGTCACTGGGACAGCACAATCCATGCTGAAGCTGGGGTCACCGTGCACTGGGTGGACAGTGATGGACACCAGGTGACAGTCACATAAAATGTCTGTGTCCTTTATCAAAGCACCGTTTGAATTTCCTGCATTCCCAGCCTTTCCTGTCGCTCCACCAAAGCCACAGGCATCCCACAGCAGCTGGATTTAGACCTCAGGCCGTCCTGTGGCTGAACTCCCACTGCAGGCTGAGGAAGCACGCTGATGCAAACCCCAACCCTACGAGCTCCTCACGTTCCTGCTCTTCAAAGACAGCTCCGTGCATGGAGAGCGGGCAGGAAATAGCCCAGAGCAAGGACGGGGCTACAAAGACAGGATCTATTATTTATGAGGCATTTCAGTGAACTCGGGGTTTGTGGGGGAGCTGTGTGAGGGGGAAAATGGAGTTGGAAGAAACACTGAGAGCGATGCGGCACGCAGGGGCCGTGTTCACGAGAGACATCCCTGGAGTGCAGAAGGCTCTGTTGGAGCTCACGTGGGATTTACTCCGTGGTTTAGGGGGCAGTTTAATGACCTGTGCTCCAAACACCAGGCTTCTAAAGAGCGAGGGGTCTTCTGAGCCAGCAGAGTCTGCAGTGCCCAGCACAGGCTCCCACAGCTCCCCACGTGCCACCCGTGATCTGCGGTGTCACAGGGAAATGAGAGCTGTGCACCCTGTGTGCCCACCCAGGGACACAGGGTTCCACCAGGGACACAGGGTTCCACCAGGGACACAGGGTAACACCAGGGACACAGGGCACCACCAGGGACACAGGGTAACACCAGGGACACAGGGCACCACCAGGGACACAGGGTAACACCAGGGACACAGGGTCCTGGGAGAGACACAGGGTAACACCAGGGACACAGGGTTCCACCAGGGACACAGGGTAACACCAGGGACACAGGGTCCTGGGAGAGACACAGGGTAACACCAGGGACACAGGGTAACACCAGGGACACAGGGTTCCACCAGGGACACAGGGCACCACCAGGGACACAGGGTTCCACCAGGGACACAGGGTTCCACCAGGGACACAGGGCACCACCAGGGACACAGGGTAACACCAGGGACACAGGGTAACACCAGGGACACAGGGTTCCACCAGGGACACAGGGTTCTACCAGGGACACAGGGTCCTGGGAGAGACACAGGGTAACACCAGGGACACAGGGTTCCACCAGGGACACAGGGCACCACCAGGGACACAGGGTTCCACCAGGGACACAGGGCACCACCAGGGACACAGGGTTCCACCAGGGACACAGGGTTCCACCAGGGACACAGGGTTCTACCAGGGACACAGGGTAACACCAGGGACACAGGGCACCACCAGGGACACAGGGTAACACCAGGGACACAGGGTTCCACCAGGGACACAGGGTAACACCAGGGACACAGGGTAACACCAGGGACACAGGGTCCTGGGGGAGACACAGGGTCCTGGGGGAGACAGAGGGTTCCAGCAGAGACACAGGGTCCTGGGGGAGACACAGGGTCCTGGGGGACACACAGGGTCCTGGGGGAGACACAGCAGAGGCACAGGGTCCCAGCACAGACACAGGTCCCCAGCACAGACACCGGGTCCTGGGGGAGACACAGGGTCCCAGCAGAGACACAGCAGAGGCCCAGTGTCCCCGGCTGCCTGGGCTCCCAATGGCTGAGCCATGCTCAGCCCTGACGCGTACCTGGGGGCTCCGTGGGGTCCCTGCAGCCCCGGGGCTCCAGGGGTGGCTGCCAGGCTGGGCCACTCCGGGTTTCTGGGGGGTCACTTGGGCAGTGGGAAGGGCGGTCTGGGCACCTTAGGGCTGCGGGGGAACACTGGGACGGCCGGGTGGGCACACTGCGGAGGAGAGCCGGGGGCTGTTGAGGGTACTGGGGCTTTCCGGGTGGCCCCGGGGCTTTGGAGGGACGCTGGGGCCGTGCGGGGGAAAGCCGGCCTTGTTGTTGGGCCCGTCGGGAGGGAAGCACGGGGGTGTCGGGGGTCGGCAGGGTGGCACAGCCGGGCTGTCAGCACGGGGGGGCCGCTCCCGGCTGCCATT